AGTGGGTTCTGCTGCCTGGGTTATGGTGGGAGGGAGCAGAGTGGCCCACTATATCTTTCATGGTTTGTAATGTTTTAACTGTGTGTTAGATGTGATGTTTTCTTGTGTTTTGTTTTTCAGCAGGGCTGTTGAGCAAAGAAGGCTTATTTTACTTGCATAATGCAATGCGGTCAAGCCTTAAGAACAACACGCTCAATATATTAGCCCTTCTGAATTATTAGCAACCCTGTACTGGCCCATAGCCAGCCTAGTAAAAGGAGTGTTTTTTTTTTTCTTAAATAAATTTTACATTTAATTATGAGATTTAAATATTGCAATTTCAGCACTTTTTTTTTTTTTTTTTTTTGCTGGATTAGGTTGTTATATGGTTACACTTTTTGATGTACCCAAAACATTTTCTAAAGATTTAGAATAAAGAAATATGAAGAGGCAAGAATAAGGATTAAGAATAAGGTCTAAGATTTAGAATAAAAGTTACTTAAGAAATGTTTTCTCTATAACAACAATAAAAAGTTGACCTTAACTGCATCAGATTCCGCTTGGTCTTAAAGGCTTTTGTCAATGGGTTACTTTGATAATCATGATGGCAAACTGTCAAAATAGGACGAATGAGCTCATGTATGGGACAAATAATGGACCTTTGGCAGTGGTGGGGTGGGTCCGTCGAACCCCATGGCTACGAGCCTGCTGTATATTTCCACCCCTCCAGTTTTTCCCAACACATTTCTAACCATAATAGTTTTAATAACTAATGTATAATACTGATTTCTTTTATTTTTGCCATGATGACAGTACATACTTTTTCATAGTGTTAAGCTTAACTAGGCAGGATAGTACCCTATCAGGCAAGTCATTGTGTGACGATGGTTTGTTCTAGACCAATGGTTCTCAAAATGGGGGTCGGGACCCCCCGAGGGGTCGCGGGACAATGAAGGGGGGTCGCCTGGTGATTTCCAAAAATCTATTTATTTTTATTAAACCATAAGAATTACCATATTTTATCCATAACCTACTGAAAAGAAAAAATAGTCATTTATACCATATATAGTTACTATAGTAGCTTATAGTTACTACTTCTATTGGATTGCAACCACAATACTACAATGGTAATTACATTGTATTAAAAACACAGCAATAGCGTCAGATGCAGCAGATTTCATTACACCCGGTTAAACTTTGTGGCCCATTTACAGCTCTCATACATTAAAAAAAATAAAAGAAGAATAGACTTGGGTCCATTGGTGTGTTTGCGCCATTGCATGCAAGGTTTCTATATTTTTTAACCACCTCAGAGGATATTGGGGGTCGCGAGTCACTGGCATTGTCATTTTGGGGTCGCGGCCTGAAAAGTTTGGGACCCCCTGTTCTAGACAATCGTAAACAAATATTGCTGAAGGGGGCTAATAATATTGACCTTAAAATGTTTTTAAAGAAGTTAAAAACTGCTTTTATTCTAGCTGAAATAAAACAAATAAGACTTTCTCCAGAAGAAAAAATATTATAAAAAAATACTGTAAAAATTTTTTTGTTCTGTTAAACATCATTTGGGAAATTCTTGAAAAAGGAAAAAAATACAGGAGGGCGAATGCTGTAATTCCGACTTAAACTGTATTAAAGCATGTGGTTTCTCTAAGTGTATCTTTTTTAAGATCGTTGTTTTCTCATGAGTTTGCTGTATGAATAAAGTTTACTCTTCTAAACATCTGACTTGCATTTACATTTGTCCTACACTGAAAAAACTAAACATTATTATACTGTTGTCTGGCAAAGAACGGTTACAGAAAGCAGGTAAGACAAAAACAAAAGCCAAATAAATAAATAAATAAATAAACAAGGAAATAACAGGATGAGAATGTGGTAAAATCTGAATCTGTGGTAAAAAAAAAAATAATAATCAGGAGGCTTTTCTTCATCGCTATTTAAAACACTGTTGATTGGGTTTAGGAGACGTCGGTGGGCGGGTCAGTCTGTGCTTTTAAAAACACTATTGGTTGGGTTTGCGGGAGGGGGTGGGTGCATCAGTTGATTAGTCAAAAAGTAGCTCCTGGGACATATTTTGCACTCTCCAGAAATGTATACAGGGTTACATTTTAAGAATGAGCCTGGTGTCATTATACACATTTGTGTCCTGATATGGCACAAACACACACACACACACACAATGCTCCGTGATTTACCTGTTGTCTCTTTCATAGAGAAATCAGAATCTTTCAATCAGGAGATTAAATGTTTCTTCTCTAAATAATGGGTGGCATTAATCTTCATGTCTCTTTCATTCAGGAGGGCTCTGCGTGTGCTAACACGGGTTCTGCCTCAAGGCTGTGTTTATCAAACACACTTTAAAAGAAACTAGAATGTTCTCTCCCACACTAAAAAATACTATAGTCATTTATAGTAAATACTGTAGTGTTTTTACCAAGTACTTGCATTCGATTGTTGCTGTAATTATTCAGTTGCTGTTGTAATACTACAACTAGCCGGGTAAAGTATGGGATACAGCTCTGAAGTTGTAGTAAATTGAAACTGTGAGTCCAGTTTTCAGAGTTGAAGTTCAGTTTAGTTCGGTTCAGTTCAGTGTGGTTTAATTTTCACCGCTGAAAGTCCAAACACTGATAAGCAAAGCTCCACGAGTCCCAAATTAAGCAAGCCAGTGGCGAGGCACAAACTTTACCATTTGACAAGAGTGAAGGAAGAAACCTTGAGAGAACTTTATGTGCAGAGCTTTATTTAAGCTTCATTTACTTTGTGTTTAATTAAGACTAGTTCATTAAAGACTGCTGGTCAGTGTGTGTGTATGCAGCATGGACAGAAATGCATTTATTAAGTGCATAATGTTGATTGAATGCAGTAGCTTTATTGCAGAGTCTTCTTGTTTCAGGGCTCAATTAATGTGCTTTAAGTGCTTAACTAAATGTATTAACTTTCATTTGTCATTTTCTTTTTAAAAAGTAGTTTTTGTGATAAATATTTTAGACAACTAAAAAGGAGACAGCGGAAAAAATGGATCAAGGTTGAGTTCTGGTATGAAGTTCAGCTTTTAAGTCTATCAATGTATGTCATAGTAGCCTTGGCAAATCTGGCCATCTAGTGGTCATTTTTCATTACTACAAATCATTTGGGGAAAAAACCCATAAGAGACCAATATAAATAGAAGGAAAATATGTTTTAATGTATTTTCATATATTATTTAGGTTTATTTATGTAGGTGTTTATGATTAATAGCAAGGAAAACTGTTATATTAAAATATTAGCAATAATAATGTAATGCTTATTTTTTTTGTATTTTAAACTATAATAATTATTTGAACATTTAGAAATAATATTAAAATCTAATAATTTTTGTTAGATAATTATACATGTCATTAATACTATTACATAAATTGTTACAAATGTAAATGTATTTTATTGTCAAGTACTGAACATAGTATGTACATAATATGTAAAATTAGAATATACAATAAAATATTAATACAAATACAGAAATGAAAAAAAAAAGCTTAAAAGATTCCCAAAAAGCCTTAACATAGTGTGTTTTATAGAGGACAAAATCTACTTTTAGTTCAGCATTTTCTTATTTCCCCAACACCTCTAATATTTATTTCATTATTTATGCCTGCACTTATAATTATTTATATATTTATTTATAATATATATATATATATATATATATATATATATATATATATATATATATATATATAATTATTATTCATGCAGGAATTTATGGATTTATTTACTTAGAATATTTATTTATATATTATTTTATTTATGCAGGAATTTTCATTAGTTTATTTATGCATTTTTGTATTTATTTATTGTTATATTTATGCAGAAATTTGTGGATTAATTAATTTTTGTATTTGTGTATTTATTTATTTATTGTTTTATTTATGCAGAAATTTGTGGAAATAATTAATATTTTTTATTTGTGTATTTATTTACTGTTTTTGCAATACATTTCATTATAAATATATAAATATTTGAGCATAAATTACCATGGAGGACGAAACGTGCAAATAAATAAATAAATAAATAAATCTAAAAATTCCTGCATAAATAAAACAACATATGAATAAATACCCAAATTAATAAATAAGTAACTAAATCCACACATTCATGCATAAATAAACCAATGAATCAATCAATAAATATGCAAACAAATAAATATATATAAAACACAGATTCCTGCATAAATAAATATGTAAATACACGGATGTTGGGGGAATAAGAAAACGCAGAACTGAAAGTAGATTATAATGGAGGACGAAACCTGCAAAAACAATAAATAAATAAATAAATATGCAAATAAATGATTAAATCCACAATTCCTGCACAAAACAATAAATAAATAAATATCCAAATAAATGAGTAAATAAATCCATAAATTCTTGTATAAATAAAGCAATGAACAAATAAATATGCATATACTTTTTCTTTAGCCTTTTCTTAATATATATATATATATATATATATATTAAGAAAAGGCTAAAGAAAAAGTAGATCTTCTCCCTCTTTAAACCACACTATCAATTATTTATTTATGCAGGAATTTGTAGATTTTAATATATACATTTATTTATTTGTTGTTTTATTTATGCAGGAATTTGTGAAATAATTCAATCATTTATTTATTTGCATATTTATTTATTTTTTGTACAGGTTTCGTCCTCCATATATATCTATATCTATATTTATATATTGTTATATTTATGTAGGAATTTGTGGGTTAATTATTTATTTATTGTTTTTGCAGTTTTTGCCTCCATAATTAAACATATTACAATATGTAAAAAATAGAATATATTAGTACTACAAATAACAGAGAAAGGTTATGAAACAATCATACAAATAGCTTAAAAGCTTCAAATGTAAACCGGCACTATTTTCAATTCATTCCTTCATTAATTTCCCTTTCGACTTAGTCTATTTCAGAGGTCGCCACAGCGGAATGAACCGCCTTTTCAATCCAAGTATGTAAATGTATTTCGAGTGCGGCGGTGAAATAAAGCGCACTTGTGCCGCGGTGCATTGTGGGTGAGCACGGAGAATAAAATGGCGGACTTGGCGAACGAAGGTAGGCAACCGTGTGAATCCGCAAAATGAGCGAAATAAAGCAAATAAATCGCCACCATGAGCCACACACAGATGAATGATGTTGGTTTAAGATCCACGCGTGTTTCTGGCGCGTTGTGCGTGAGTTCGCGGCTCTGAGAAGAAGTGTGTGTGGAGCTTTAGCTCAAGTTAGCCGATGAGTGAGTTAGCTCGCGGGCTAAACAGCGCACTGACAGTGTGTGAGTGTGTATGTGAATGTGTGTGTGTTAGCAGACTAACCCCGGCCTCTCGGTGTGTTTCTCTTTTTGATTTTTAGGCGGGTGGAAATGCACGCGCTTCCCCCTGTGCGCCCATTCGCGTGCACGCTCTAATGTAATCAAAACATTGATTAAAGTAGTGTGTGATAGCAAAGAGCATGCATTAAGGAATACACCTAAACCTGACTAATAATTCCCTGCAGTTAAGTATTAAAAGCAACGTGTGCCATAAATAAAGGCTCCTCATTTTATCTAACGTTAAAGAAATCCGTGTTGTGCATCATAATGACAACCTTCTCTATTAAAACTGTTTTACTTTAATTCCAATCGTGTCTCATATGATTAGACGTGGCTGTCAGGAGAATCAGCGATAATACCAGTCATTTACATCTTTATTGAGACTTAAAAAATGTCTCAGATGCAGAAACGAAAGCAGATGTCTGGTGGGTGGGGTGGTGTGTTGTTCAACTCGTGGTTTGTTTTCAATCCGATCACAATATGTGATTCGGATGTTATTCTGATTAGTGCGTCGGTAATGTTCGGTGTCCGGTGCAGATGGCGGGGTTTTGTTGCTAGGCAAGCCGCACGTCGTCGCCTTTCACTCGGATAGTGGCGTAACTGTGGGCCGCTGCTTTCCCTCTTATAGGCCCGCACACCCTCCGCGCGCGCCCCGGGGTGAAATGTAACCCCATGCACACATGATTCCCCCCCCCCCTTTAGGACTCTGATGTCCTCCAATAGAGTAGCTTGAGTGGTGAGATCACTTCTCACCCCTTGACCCAATTACAGTGATGTTCATGGTTTTACAGTGCTGACTAAACCACCCTGATGGTTTGTTTTGGGGGGAAAGCAGCTGTTTACAGATGCACGTGCGCATAACATACACTTATTTCCTATGAATGATGTCTTTATTCCCCTCCAGTTGTGTTGCTGTCAACGTGCTGCAGCTAAAAATACCAGACAGCGTCAGCCAGATCATGTGTCTTTGTTTATTTACGAGGCATGACGATCATTTTAAAGAGGTTTAATTGTGCTAGAAGTGTCTCGGGTTTTTATGGATTGGTGTGAATGTGATAAGAAGCAAGATAATTTCTTTTGACAACACTAGAGACTTTGGCTTCCATTGACTGGTTTCCAACTTCAGCTGATCATGTTACCCTGGGGTTTGTGATGGCTAGGACTTGCTATATGTTACAGTGTAAAAACTTGTTTGTTGGGATGAACAGAAATATATATATATATATATATATATATATATATATATATATATATATATATATATATATATATATATATATATAAACCTAGATTTTTTTTTTTGCTAAATCGCCCAGCCCTAATATATTATATGTGTATATGTGTATATATATATATATATATATATATATATATATATATATATATATGTATATATGTATATATATGTATATATGTGTATATATACTTATATGTATATATGTGTATATATACTTATATGTATATATGTGTGTATATATGTGTGTATAGTGTATATATATATATATATATATATATATATATATATATATATATATATATATATATATATATAAGGAATATATATTCCTTAAACATGTGGTAAAACAGCAATAGGCTTTGTGTAGCTGTACTGTTGGTTAAAATTTAATTTTGTATAGATTTGGAATGGTGGACTTGAACAGACTTGAGATTTGTCCTGGTCATTAATGCTGATGATCATTCTGATGTTGAATTGTTGTGTTTGAGACATATGCTTACAATCTGTAATTTTCTGCTTAAAATCTGTCACTGATGTGATTTTCGTGAATGCAGAAGACTAGGTGGGTATTTTTGCATTTCGGCGGGTTTTGGATACTTTTTGGGCTGGAATCAGTCAGCTGCATCTGGCAACCCTGTGCATGCTTTCGGTTTCATTTTCACTGCTAAATACGGTTCACTTCCCACGAGGATCCCAAACGATGAATGTTATTGAATGTTAATGTTGAACTGTATGTTATTTACAACTTTATTACCTGTTATTCACAGCTTATGCAGGTTCTGTTCACTAAAGTAGACTTCATTAAGAGAAGCGCGTGCGCCCGCCTTCTCTGTGGTAACAGCTGACGGTCAGCTCACGTCACGTGTGATTTTGCGGTCGCAAATACATTACATGAAGACAGAAATAACATTTTTGGGGTGAATTATATCTTATAAATACAGCATGTGTCAATGTTGCTGTGAAGACTTGTGTGACTGCCTTGCTTCTCTTCTGACCTTGAAAATATCATTGGCTGAATTGTAAAAAAGCTGAATTAAGATCGTGTGTATGGTCGAATCGAGTTTGTAATCTTTTTTCGATTAATGGTGCAGCCCTATGTGGATAAATTTCTGTCTGTGAAGCAAGTATTCACTGAGATTCCAGTGTGTTTGTTGACCACCAAACTGTCGTAAAAGCACCAAACTGGTCCAAGCTCTTCCCCTAGAGCAGGGGTGTCAAACTCAATTCCTGGAGGGCCGAAGCCCTGCACAGTTTAGTTTCAACCCTGCTCCAACACACTTACCTTTAGGTTTCAAACAAGCCTGAAGGACTCAATTAGTTTGATCAGGTGTGTTTAATTAGGGTTGGAACTAAACTGTGCAGAGCTCCGGCCCTTTTGGAACTGAGTTTGACACCTGTGCCCTAGAGCAGGGGTTCCCAAACTTTTCAGCCCGCGACCCCCAAAATAACAATGCCAGTGACTCGCGACCCCCAATATCCTCTGAGGTGGTTATAAATACAGAAACCTTGCATGCAATGATGCAGACACACCAATTAAATTTGTGTCAGTGCTTTAAATGTGCCAGAAAGTATAACCTGATGTTATAAAATCAAAATGCATCTGACGCTATTGCTGCTTTTAAAATAATGTAATTACCCCAGGGGTCGCAATCCAATAGAACTAGTAACTATAAGCTACTATAGTAACTATATAGTATATAGTAACTATAAACGACTATTTTTGTTTTCAGTATAGTTATGGATATAATATGTTAATTCTTATGGTTTAATAAAAATAAATAGATTTTTGGAAATCACCAGGCGACCCCCCCCCCCCCCCTTCATTGCCCCGCGACCCCTCGGGGGGTCCCGACCCCCACTTTGAGAACCACTGCCCTAGAGAAACATCAGTCTATAGCAGGGGTGCCCAAACTCGGTCCTGGAGGGCAGGTGTCCTGCATATTTTAGTTCTAACGCCAAATGACTACACCTGAACCAGCTAATCAAGCTTTTCCTAGCTATACTTGAAACTTCCTGTCAGGTTCGCTGAAGGAAGTTTGAGCTAAACTATGCAGGACACCGGCCCTCCAGGACCGACTTTGGACACCCCTGGTCTACAGCGATCGATGATTGGCTACTATACTAGTAGGCGGGGCTTCACTCGCCATGTAGACCGTTACACTTTTTTCACCCTTAAAAACATGGTTACTTACTGAGAGGCAGAAAGTGCTGTACAATTACATAATCTATCGGCCTAATTTTGACATCGTACCGATAATGATAACAATAAAAGTAGCAATAATCATCCGATAAAGATATGGCCACTGATATATCGTGCATCCCTATCTTTAGTCATAGTCCCCGTTTACACTGCCAGTTAAATGTGACCCAATTCTGATTTTTTGCTCATATGTGACACAGATCGGATCTGTTCTATGACCGTGTAAACACGAAAAAACCCCTGCGTGCATTCGGATATTCAGAGATCGGTTTCAGGCCTCCTTCATATGTGGAAATAAATCAGATACAGATCGGATATGTGACAATGCGACTGTCATGTAAACAGGCAGATCGGATTTATTGAGGCATTCTGCTCTGTACATCATTAAACTTGCGACAATGTGGTACTTCTCCGCGGTTTAATGACAGAAAGAAGAGCGTGTGTGGAGATGCCGACGCGGTAAACAACATCAGAGGAGGAAAGAGGTCAGTCGCCACAATTTGCTCCCACCAGACCCGAGATCTCTCTCGTACCCACAAATTCCTCTGAACGGCCCTTTCCCTCCTCCGCCTCAAAATCAATTTAAAGTTGGGCGAACTTCGCGTTGTAACTTTTGTTTTTTCGCTATTAATACACGCACTGCGGGCTACACATAGAACAACTTTATTCTCTCCAACACCAGTGAGCACACAGACAAAGGCTACATCTTTAACAACACACACACACACACACATCAGGGCCATACCATTACATAAACTGCATGGGGGTAAATTTGGAATAAATCATTCACTGCTTATACTACACTTCACATATTTCGCAGAGCTAAAAACAAGACAATTTCTTCCATCGTGGCTAGTGTGGCACAGATGCTAGAACCCGTCTTTATGCATGCGCGACATCGTAAATTGTATGGAAAGTGTAAACGCATGAATTGGATATGGGCCACAATTAAAACACTGTGTAAACAGACAGGCAAACAAATCAGATATAGGCAACAAATCGGAATTGGGCATCAAGACCTGACTGTGTAAACGGGGCCAGAATGAAGCGTGTGATTCACTGCATTACGTGCTTAATTATATATTGTTAGCTTTTTTAATTTGTCAGAATGAAAATCTGTAACTTGCTATTGACTAAAGGGTATGTTTAAGAGGAGTTTTGTCAAAGATGTAGTTGTGTACTTGGAGATTTGCTTTGGATGCAGTTAGTCAGCTTACAGTCTGTCCTCAAATAAACCCTTTTAGGAAATGACCTATTTTGTGAATGATTATCTTGGATGTTTGTGTGTGATGTAGGGAAACTTGGATCCA